ACGGGAAAAAAATAGAGTTGGTTTTGAGTTGCCGAAAAGTGCTTTTTCGTATTCAGAACACTTGATAATCCCGAAAATTTTCTATTTTTGACGAGGGGTACTTCCAAAAGTTTAGGACAAATTTCGAAAGAAACTTTCCATAGGAAAATAATATTGGTTTGAAAATTGTTCCTCAACTTTTGGAAGTACCCCTCGTCAAAAATAGAAAAATTTCGGGATTATCAAGTGTTCTGAATACGAAAAAGCACTTAAAGTGCCAAAAATTTTGGCAACTCAAAATCAACTCTATTTTTTTTGTTTCGGTGACATGCCTTGAAATAAACTGGCCCAGTTGATTTAAACTTTTCTATTCAGACTTGGACTTGAACGAATCAAGACTGCAGGAGCTATGGTTTAATTTTGAGTGTTTTGAAGAAATGAAGAAAAGCATTAAAATCTTCACATCATCACGTGGGTTGAACTAACATAACATAAGAGTGAAGGTACCATCAGGTGTCAGGCACTTGGTCGCTCTTGTTTGTTGTACGACACTCGAACGGATCAGTTTTGTAGCAGTGCAATATTCACGGCAAATGTTTCTAATGAGTCGGTGGAGATAATTGAAGTACGGAATATTCGTATGACAATTCAAGCACGTCTTCGAAAAAACTGTCGCATTTCAAAGTGGAAGTTTTTCCTCTGTACTTCTTTTTTTGATTGTGCTATTTTTCAGTTTAAAAATAGGTCAGTTTAAACTAGAGAACCTCAGTCTGAACTTCATTCTCAATCGATAAAATTCCACTCGGACGGCGCTTTATTACTCAAAGTGTTGGCTGTTTTAATGGGGTCGTTCAAAATCGGTTTTTTTCGTTTAGGTTAAAAATAGGTTATCAATGGTGCAACCTACCTACAACCTACCTACAACCTAGCCTATAAAAAATTTCATAACCTAACCTAATCTAGGTTAGGTTTGATTTAACCTGCAGGACTCTAAAGGTAACTTCAAATCGAACCTTTTATCAGGTGTCGTGGATACGGGAATATCTGATTCATATCTCGCCTGTAACAATGACACATCATACACGGCTAAAATGAATGCTATCTATCGAACAACAACAAAATACAGAGGTTTAAACTTTTATCATTTGTTGTTGGAAAATAATGTGTTCGGCAAAGGCTTTTTACCGGTATTCAGTGGAGGGCGCTCTTGTGCCGTTCAAGAAAAAAGTCTTGGTGAAAGACAAAAATGCGAAACTCATAGTGAATTGAAAATGGCATTTTGAAATGATTCAATGCGAATGGTGATACGAAAGAAGAGTAAAGTATTGAGGTAAGGAAGGTGCCGGTAATTCAGAAGTACAGCAAGAATTTTTTTTTTGGCATGGATGGATAGAGCTCATAGAGTTGCATCGGAAAAACACAACCCCACATTTTAAGAGGTCATTTTTTGTTGGAAAGATTTAAAAGTACCCATATTTTGAAAATAAGCTAAAAACAGTGAAATTTTCCAAAATAAGGAGATTTTTCATACATATTGTTTTTCTAATATTCCAAACCTATTATTGTCTGATTCTCCATCGAAAACTGAATATAAGAAACTGAATTCCAAAATTTTAAAGTTGAAATTGCCCGCCAAATCCACGGAACAAGACCAGAATCGTGTCAAATTTGCAAACGTATCTAGTTTTTTTCATTGAAAGACTAAGCATTAATTGTTATTTCCTTCTAATCAGTATACTTGTAGGAAAAAAAGTATGCCACGCTTTTTTAGAAATATTTAGTCGTTTTCGAGAAAAGTCAATTTTTCTAAATCACAAAAAAAGTCGGAATCATTAAATCGGTTTTGACAAAACAAGCTTTTAAAATTTTTCGATTTGGTGACATGCACGTTACATGAGCGCCTAGTAAAGTGCTAAAACATGTTCATATTTCAACTTCATCAGTTTTTTCGGTTTTTGATTCTCTAATAACCATAGAAAACCATCATTTGTGCTCTCTTGCTTCGCTGAAGCCATAAAAAAATATTTTTCGCTTTCAGATCATTCTTTTTCTGAGCAAACGATAAGAAAAAAGCTGATACTGGGAGAGAGGCTCATTTAGTTGAATTTTATTCGGTCATAGCGACATATTTAAAAATGTTCCAAAGGAGATCTCAATCGATAAAAGATTCCACAGCGTGAGCCATTGTTGTACTCCATTCGGTTTTCAATTTATTTTACACGGTTTATTTTGAAGAAAGTTCTCTTTGTCGGAAAAAAAACATTCTGATACATCTATCGTTTTTCCCAAAACTTAAATTGTGGAAAATGGATTCAAAAAGCAACAGTTATTACAAAAATGAGACAGATAGAAAATAAAAAAGGTCTCCCACAATACCTGTGTTATCGTTCGCACGAAGGAGATGGAGCAAGCGGGTGTTCATGTGATAGATTCATTTACACTTCTGTTCTGAGTCAAAGCCATGGCATATCGCTGTCCACAAAAAAGACAAATACAAAAAATTGTCTAGACAAAAGTTGAATTTTTATTTATTTTGAAAAAAATAGACTTATCGCCTGGTAAAATTTTTGTGGCTATATGTTCAATTTAGTCCTGTTTCCACTATTACTAGTAAGAAAATGAGAATAGGCAGTGGACTGGATGGTTCTTTAAATTGTTTTCGTTTAATGAACTGGAATAAAATTAAGTCGATCGATAAGAACAATGGAATTTAGGTCGAATTGTTTTGCTAAATTTATTAAATAACTGATAAACTCGGAAATTCTGTACACTTTTCTGATTAGCATCGGTCACGATGACATAACTCGGAGCTTCCAGTCGTATACACAACCATCTCATAACCTCATTAAATCAAAAACTGGTCACAAGTGCTACACGGTTCTAATACTATTCGGGACAGCAAACATAAGAATATAACAGGAAAAGTTAGATGCCACTTAAGTTCTCGAGACTTCAACCATGAGGACGAAATATAGTAATCGTTTAGAACATTTGTATTCAGATTTATGTACCAATTGCCTAGGATAAAAATTTCAGTAAATGAATAACATCATGAATAAATGAATGTTGATACTTGTAGATGAGAGAAATATTATTTGGATTAATACGACTTATGATTCACGGACTATTGAGTCAGCTTATACATTTTTAGTTTAAACTTTTTCATAATTCTTTAATGCAAAAAAAATGCTATCGTTAAACGGGCAAATAGCACAATATTAAACACTACTTGATCAATTGTTAGTTTAAAATAATAATGATGCATGGTATTAATATAGATGTGACATGATAGAACATGACAGAATTCGAGGTATTTGACAACTCTTCTAATTTGAAATAGATTATTTGAAAAATAAAAGAAAATACAAAACAGATAGTTATGAATATGAAATAACATGTAATTAATTGGTAATTCTACACAACAGGAATCTAATGTATTTAAAAACTAGGTCACAGAATGATAAAATAAAGAGACAAAGACAAATATACACACACGCACTTCATGAACGAAACACGAGATCTGGGAAGTTTTTTTCATAATATTTTACACAAATATTACGAAAATATACAAACATTTGCTCAAACGAAAAAAATGCTATCAGAGATTTAAATACCAGATTTGTAGAAAATTTAAGTCTCTGTCGAATGAGACTAAACCCACATTTTTAAATCACTCAGAAATGTTCCAAAAATCGCAATCAAAGACTGTCAGGTGACTTTTGGATCATCCTGTATTTAATACTCGAAAAAGTCCAGTGCGATTTGCTTTCTTGCTTGCTGATTAACAATCAAGTACAATATTCACTCTACATCCAGCTAAGGACTAGCTCCTCCTCTTTGTCAGATATAATATATTGAATAGCTGAACTAGCTTAATTTGAAATTCTAACTTTGTATAAACAAGAAGAAAAAAAAAGCAATTAAAATCGTATTTACTTTATTCGGTATTGTCTTTGAAGGTGCTAATTTATATTTGACTTGTTAAGATAGAGGTGTTGTTTTCCTTCTACTTCCTGTTCTATGAAGGTAAGTTATTTGCATATTTTAATCTTATTTACATTGAATTTGAATGATTAGAGAATGTATACATCGACAAACAATTAAAATTGGTTTTTTTTTTCTTTTTTTTGAATAAGAGAATAAAAATTCTGTTCAATAATAATTTAACAATATTATTTGGCGGTAAAATATCGTACTAAGATGTTGTATTTAGCAATTATTCCACTGCTTTTTGTCAGTTATTGTTCCACAACTTCATCTGTATCTATTGCCCCACATGGTGGATATTTATTGATTGATGAAGGTTTAGAATATTATCTATCGTGTAATGCACAACAAGACAAACAATTGAAACAAGTACAATGGTTAAACCCAAAACAAGAAGTTATCGGTAGCAATAATGGCTCAGATCGGTAAGAATGTTTGAAAAAATAGTACTATGTGAATAATTATTCTCCATTAAATTAATTTTTTTAAGAATTTATAATATATTTATTAAAACGTTATTTACTATTAAGTCGGTGTTAGTTGTCCAATGGATGGATAAGAGTCTCATTGGATTATACAAATGTCAAGCAACATATGAAAATGTGACTATAGAAGATTTTGTTTATATTGATATTGCGCGTAAGTAAAGAAGAGACTACATTAAATTAGTATTTATTAATAATTTATTATTCAGAAACACCACGCGATATGATGAAACAAATTAAATTTATGGGCACTACACAAAACAATTATACAACATTTGAAGGATCAGACTTAAAAATACCATGTTATGCTCAATATTTTAGTGAAAAACCAATGGATTCACCGTATATACCACATCTATTGTGGTTTTTTGATAATATACAAATTTTCAGCGATTCATTATTTCATATGACACGTAGATAATAGTCAAATTTATTGATTAATTTTATTTATCTATGATATTTATTATTCTAGGAGATAAATACAATCTAACTCAAGACTCTTTATTAATAAAAAATTTTTCTCTAAATGATCAAGGCATCTATTATTGTCGTGCATTTATAACACTTCGAGATGAATTAATTACAAAAATTTATCCAGTCTATGTTCAACTAAAAGGTTTATATTAACCTATTTATTTCATCTATATTTTAATATGATATATTTTATTTTAGAATCAAGATGGAATGAAAATATGACAGAATTTTTAGAAAATTCTACCAATTCACTCGGTTCGTACTTATACATAGTTAATGAAGTTGTTACATTAATAGTCTTTAAAATAATATAACAAATTAAATATTGATATTTAAAATATAAACTTATAGAATATAATTTGTTATAATATAGATGTATGTGATTATAACAATAATTCAATTCGAGTTTATGATAATGAAACAATAAATGTGATAGAATACTGCGATATCAATAGGCAATTATCAAATTATTCATGTTCACTTGGTCTAGTATGGAATGCGGACTATTTTCGTTGTACAATTCCATTCGGTACTATTTGTTTAAAAACTAATAGAAGTATAAAAAATTAATATAAATAAATTTTTTCATTGTAGCATACAGAAAAAATGTTCATATTTATCCAAATTTAACAAATTTAGATGTTGAACTTGGTTTAAATTATACATTTTTCTGTGAAAGTAATGATACATCAGTTCATCTACAATGGCAAGCATTAAACGGTTCAATTATTTCAAAAGTAAACATTGAAAATGTTACACATCAAACGTAAATATTTTTTTCAATTTTTTTCCTATAGTCACATAATTTCTATTTTACTATTAATGTTTTATTATTATTTTTTTCCATTATAGAATCATCTCCTATACACTAGCCATGTTTCCCAATCGATTATATCTTCAAATTTCACCAGTAACATCTAAAAATATTGATACATATATTTGTAAAAGTTCAACAGCTCGAAATCAGGAAGAAATTATTTCTATTACTTTAGTACCGAATAGTAAGATCGTCTATCGTCTTTTTTCTACATAATGATATTTTGTTTCTTTTATCTATTGTATAAATTAAAATGAATATTTTAGATATTGCTGAATTATATGGAATTTCATTTCATTCCGCAACCATTTCTCACTATAATGTGCATGTGGGTGATGATGTATTTATTGCTTGTCGTCCAGAATTTCTTAATTTTAGTCGAACTCTTAAATTTTCATTAATTCCAATAATGAAAATTAAAAAATACAAAAAATTTATATCAGAAAATGGTAAAATATGACAAATAATATTTTCTTTTTAAATACATATATATATTTTACATGTTATTTTAGATGATCAACATTTTATTGTAAATGATGGTTTACATATTAAAAATGTTCAAATAAATGATAGTGATTTATATGCTTGTATTGGCACAATATTAATACCAGGAAATATTGTTACATCAATTTATCCGATAATGCTCAATGTTTCATGTAAGTTATTATCAATCAAATAGTCTAAGTTTTAAAACGAAAATATCTATTGTTTTTGTTTTTTTCATTCTATTTAGAGATTTAAGAGAATTAATGATTGTCAAATAGATTGACTAAACTGTTTAAATATGATTAATAACTTCATATTATCTAAATTGTTTTATGTTCTTGTACAAAAAAAATAATAATAGTTATCATTTTTGTTCTATCAATAAAATGTTTAAAAACTGAATATAGAAACTTTCATATTTCAATCTTTTATTAAATGTTAGAAAATAACATACTGATTAATATATTTTCAATTATTTCTCGTTCGAAATAGATTGACGTAAACTCATATTTTTTTTTTTTCTAACTATATGATATAATCATTCCTTATTTTAAAAGACACAATTGTTGACTTCTTTATTTATTTCAATCTTTTGTTTTCACCAGATTGTTCATATGTTATTGTGCCCTAGACGATGTTGCATGTAACAAAACTAAGCATCCTGTTAAACATATATTTTTTAATTAGACCTATCACGTCTCTTCAAAAATGATTACTGAACAGACTGAAAAATTTTTATACTTTCTTTGAACACACACACACATACAGGGGGAAAAACTTAGCTATAAATAAAGAAAAAAGAACAAAACGAGAGAAAAAAATCCATTATTTTTTCCGTTGTGAAACGTAAGAAAAGGAAATTTGTGCAAACAATCAATTATATATCTGGTGGTAATGAAAAAAAAAAAAAAAAAATCAAAACGTTTTTTAATAATAATTACTTTTTTTTCCCGTCCATCGCGTACAAAAAAATAATAAAT